TCTGTGGGGGGGGGGGGGGAGGACTGAAAGTTGACTCTTTAGGTGGAAGAGCAAACAAAAGGAACTGGCTTTTTCCTCTACTTTGATTTCACTGGCCCTCTTTCCTTGATTGCTGGTGACACAATTATTTATGATTGTATCTGTTGCGAGAGAGAGAGAGAGAGATTTTGGAGGTGGGTTTACCCCAGATCCAGGGAACTCGAGCAATACGTGAAAAAAAGATCGATCTTTATTTTCTTTGTAGATCTTTTAGTGTTTATCCTGTGACTCTTGGTACATCCAACTTTCTTTGGCTTTCTTTCTCATGACTTTTATTTTGTTTGTCCTCTCTCTGTTAGCTTGATAAAAAGGTTTGATTTCTATTCAGGTGTTAAGAAATTTTCATCTCTGTATCCTTTTTCCCTGTTTGTAGTTTGATTGAATAGATAGGGAAGGAGATTCAAGAGAAGAAGACGAAGAAGAAAGCGGGAGGAGCTTAACAAGCCTTTTGTGGGGGAAACTCTCTAATTTTGGAAATGGTTTCTATTTGTGGAAGTCTGGATCCAGTAGGGTTGACCAGATCTGTGTAACCCACAAGCTGCTTTATCTGGAAATATAAATTTCTCCTGGTTGGTGTATCTCCTCGAGGCATGGAAGATGGTTTCTTGAATAACATTGTCGTTGTTGTCCGAATCCTGTTCTCTCTAAGAGGTGTTCAACAATGGTAGGGTCTTGTATTGTTGGGGGGTCTGGTGGCGAATTCCTGCGATTTCTCGATAGAGAATTGGACCAAAAACATGATTCCTCCGGTGGTTGTGGCTATCGGAGTTTCTAGTTTTGTCTTCGATAACTCAGTAGTAGCTGCACATATGGATATTTCAAGATTCAAGCCTTCAACAGATGAGGCTGATACCCTTTTACCAAATAATGTAAGTAAGGATTCGGATAGCGAGGTTGGAAGTTCCGAAATGTTGCAGGTTGATGAAGATGGTGGAAAGAACGCTGAATCAACTTCGTTGGATGAAATGTTCGAAACGAAAGACGAGTTAATTGTTGCAGATGATGCCATGAGAGAGATCGAAGAGTGTGATTCGTTGTCACTGGAGGGCGATTGCTCGCTTTCTTTGGCTAGTGAAACTAGTAGCTTGTGTGGAGACGAATTCCCGGGTTTCGAGGCTGCTTCCGAAATGGGAACCCTTAGTGCTTTGGACCTTATCTCGAGGGCCAGTATTTCCGGAGGTTTAGGTGTGAATGCCGACATTGCTACTAGCCCAGTTGCTTTGGCCATGAATCTTGAGGGCGAAACTGGAATTGTCTCTAGAGATGAACCGGCTTCTGTTGTTCTTCGGTTGGCTGCAGAAAAAGGGGCGACTGCTTCTGGACGGAGTGTGTTCGAGGTTGAATATATCCCGTTGTGGGGAATCACGTCAATATGCGGGAGGAGACCCGAGATGGAAGACGCTTTCGTGGCCCTGCCTCGTTTTCTGAAACTTCCAATTCAGATGCTAATCGAGTATAGAGTACTCGATGGAATGAGCAACTGCTATTCCGAGCAAACAGCTCATTTCTTTGGGGTTTACGATGGTCACGGTGGTTCACAGGTGATGCTTCTTACACTTTTTTCCCCGTTCCATATGCACCCTACGTTTGAATCTTCGGATTCTCTATCTCGTTTCTTCCTTCAGGTCGCAAACTATTGCCGTGAGAATCTGCATACTGTTCTAGCCGAGGAGATCGCTTCCGCTAAGGAAAGGATCGGTGATGGGAATACGCAGGAAAGTTGTACCGAGCAGTGGAGACGGGCATTAACCAACTGTTTTATTAAGATCGATGCAGAAGTCGGAGGAAAGGCTAATACAGGGCCGGTTGCACCTGACACTGTTGGTTCAACGGCAGTTGTTGCTATCATCTGTTCTTCCCACATCATCGTAGCGAACTGCGGAGATTCAAGAGCAGTCCTTTGCCGCGGGAAAGAACCGATCGCTTTATCGGTTGATCATAAAGTACAGAAAAAGCTTCTTTCCATTTGCGGTTTTGTATCTCTCGAGCCTCTACTTATTCCGGTTGTATTAGTGATTCTCACCTCGTTTTCGTTTCATCGCTTACTCAGCCAAACAGAGAAGATGAGTACGTGAGGATTGAAGCTGCCGGAGGAAAAATCATACAGTGGAACGGACACCGCGTTTTTGGTGTTCTCGCAATGTCAAGATCCATTGGTAAGTTCTCGAAAATGCATATTTCTCGGTCCTTTACCCCGCACAATACCCACATCGTTTCTCTGTATGAACTCGGTCCTTTCAGAACGGACACCGAGTTTTACTAGAAAATGTTCATAAGTTTGTCGAGATCTTTAAGAATTATGTTCTAGTGATTCAAAGTGGAGATGTCCATTTTTGGTTTCGGTTCGGTTATGTTTGGATTCGGTTATTTTTTATTCAGGTAGAATTCAAGGTGAGTTTTTGCTGATAAAAATACTCATATTTTCAAAGAAATTTTCGGGTTTTTTTGTTACTTTTATATATAGTTTGGATTTGATTTTTTCAGTTTAGAGAAATCAGATTGATCCAATTTTTATATCGGATTCGGTTATTGCGATTTGCAGGGGATAGATACCTGAAACCATGGATAATACCAGACCCGGAAGTGGTGTTCTGTCCACGGACCAAAGACGATGACTGTCTGATCCTAGCAAGTGACGGCCTTTGGGACGTAATGACGAACGAGGAGGCTTGCGAGCTCGCCCGAAAACGCATAATGCTCTGGCACAAGAAGAACGGGCTCTCGGGTTCGTCCCGAGGCCGAGACGTCGACCCGGCAGCTCAATCCGCGGCCGAATATCTGTCGAACCGAGCTCTCCAGAAAGGGAGCAAGGACAACATCACAGTCATTGTGGTCGATCTGAAGGCTCAGAGGAAGTTCAAGAACAAATCTTGAAGGCCAAAGATTGTAGCTTTTGATCAAATATATATATATAGTAATGACGAATTTTAAAAGAATTGTTTCTAGTGGAATTTGGATTTTTATGGGTATGTGTAAATGTTTGAGATGTGGTTCTTAGAATTGTTGCAGAAAAAAAAAATTTGAAGTTTCCATGGTATTGTTATTCCTATTATTGTTATTATAGAATTCACTTATTACTCTGATTAACTTTTGCCAAAATAATCTCGTTTTTCTTCTTAAAACCGAACTTCCAACAATGTGAATTCAAATGTTTATTTCTGCTATAATTAATCATAAGTTACATGTAAAATAAATATTTATTATTGTTGTTAGAATTTTAAGGCTAAAATCTTATGGATTAAAATAGAATCCAATTTATTATTAATTTGATTAGCTTTTAAAAACATAATTTCATTTCCTCTAAGAGTAACTTTCAACAATATAAAATCGGATATTTGTTTCTAATATAAAATTAGTAAATACATATAAAATTGTTAGAAATTTCAATCCAAAGATTACGCTGTGTGATTTCCTGAGTAAATAAATAGTTTTGAAAGGCATCTCTTCTGCAAAAATTCAGCCAAAAAGGTGCTGTGGATTGATCCTGTGTAGCCGTGTGTTAGTCGTTTGATCGTCATCGACACTTTCTCGATTCGATTCTGTCGAGACCTGCAAAAATTAGATCTTTTTAGAGTAGAAAGTCAATTCCTTGGGCGTCTTCCGATTCGATCACGAGCGGTGCTTGCGAAAAAATGGCGCTTGAGCCCCCAGCTTTTCAGGAAGCTGCTCGCTGCGATGTCTGCAAATGCAGCTTCAACACCTTCAGACGCCGGGTACCTACGCGTTTTCGATTACCCATCTCCTGATTTCGAATTTAGGGTTTTGTTCATTCTCTTCTAGCTTGTGATTATCTGTGTATTTGTCAATCTCTGGGTTGATTTTGACATTTATATTGTCGGTCCACGAACTTATGACGATTGCTTGGTTTGATTTGAAACTTCTCAGACTGCTGAAACGAAATCGAAATTCCGGGTCGTGTCGATGGAAACAATTGAATTAATAAATTGAAAATAAATATTTTTTTTTAAGTCAAATTGATTTCAAACCAAGAGGAAATAAGAAAAAGCTTGGTTCAAGATGAATAATTAATTTACAAGTAACTTGACAGCGAATATCCATATATTTTTATATCTGACTTCAATCGAAGTCAAAAATAACAATTAAATTAACCAAAAATTCAATACCAAACCAAACCAACAGAGATTTGTTGGGATACGGCTCTCCCGTAATTATAAACCTGTGGCCCATCTGAATTTAGTCAATTCCCGTCAGATTGGTGGTAATTGACATAGATTTTGAAGGAGCTATTGCGTTATGCATGATTCGAAATGTACTGAAAACTTTCTGTAACTGGTATAAATGCTAAGGGATTCGGAAAATGAGTTCCTATTTTGGGGTTCTATGAAGCCGAATTGAAGAGTGATCTCTGAATAATAGGTGCGAAGATTGTAATGTGCAGTTTGCTTATTAGCCGTAACACTTTCCTTTTGTATACACTTTTTAGTTATCTCAATTCTCAAATAAGGTGATTATGGATTAGCTTTCAAGGAATACAATGGGACGGTTGAATATACGGTTCCAAGTGTGTGTAGTAGTTGTATCGATCATCCGTCGTCTAGTTGTAATATTCACAATTGTTGTCCGATACGAAGAGAAAATTCAATGTATCGTACCGGTAGCATTGGGATTGGTTGTTTTGTGTTTTTTGTATAGAAATTTTGTTACATCCATCTTACAAATCGATGACATAACCGAAGCGTGAGGGATTTGTTAGGAGCCTTTGATCAACATTTATCATCTTTGCGTGTGAATGTTTATGTTTTTCGTTCTTTTCGGTACTGTTCTATTTGAAGAATCAAAAAAGTTTCATTGGTTTTTCTTGTACGTAGATTTTACTTTTGAGAAAGCTTTTATATGTTCCTCTTTGCTGTAGAAGTGCCAATTACGTTAATCCATTATATCGCTTTATGTTTTTCTGCAGCATCATTGTCGTTGCTGCGGGAGGACATTGTGTCATGAACATTCGTCAAATCAAATGGTCAGACAAATGTTGTCTCCTTTTGAAGCTTCTCGGTTTAAGTTCCACGAAATTCGTTTGCACATTTTTGCTATTAACTGTATGTTATGTTATACACTGTATATGCTAAACGCAGGCTTTACCTCAATTCGGGTTAAACCTCCCTGTCAGAGTTTGTGCCGATTGTTTTAACAACTCTGCTCGGTGAGTCTCTTATTAGTTTTTGAATCCTTTTCTCAGGTTCTATATGATTTTGATATCTTCTTTTTTAAACAATGTTCCATACATGATTATATTTGAGAAACTACCAACTGCACAACTGATGAGTATGCTGTTGGACGACACAGTTGTATACCTAATGTGGTTTTACATATATGATTTCCTTCCAAAAGTGAAACTTTTGCGAAGGAATCAACAGCCAGTAAACCAATGCGTCTCTTTAAATGTTTCGGCTAGGAAAAAATTATGACCAATAAAAACATATCACAGATCTCCTAAGTAGTTAATTTATTTGTTAATTGGTAGCTAAGCTAAGTACAAAACCATCCTTTTGTTCATCTCAAAGAGGAGTTTGTCTCGGGAGAGACCGTTTGTGGTCTTTCCTTTTGTTGGGTGCATTGTCTTGACGAAAAGTTTTAGTTTTGTCTGTGATAGAAAAGATTGGGTCTTCTTTCTGAGCCTTCTTTGATCATATAAATTCCGTTATGCAGATCTGTTAAGACCAATATTCATGCTTCAGCCGATGAAGTTGATTCCGTAACAGGAGGAGTGTCTAGACTAGACATCGACACAGATATGGGCTTTAAAACCAATCCAACATTAGAGCAGCACTCTGTGGTAGCTGTAGCTGAATGCAAGTGTGGTATGCCTCTATGTATCTGCGTAGCTCCTGCTCCGCCCGCCAACACGCTGATCCCAGAGGTAAAAAAGCACTGGAATCGCCTTAGATGTGTCTTTTCTACAAAAATATGGCAATCTGTTTCGATAATATGTGCTTCTTTTTTTTGGAACAGACTACTCCTGCTTCTGTGGCGCCCATCCAGCCAAATCTAAAGCCAAGAAGGACAGAAGCCTCAGCAAGGATTAAAGGTTCCACTTCCAACAGCATCACTAGGTATACTACCATTTTTTTGTTCTACATCTATCCTTTGTCATGCAGATGACTGGTTTTTGCCTAACTTGTTGCTCGGTGGAATTAGAATTTACGTGAAACGAGTTGTTCAGGCTTTGCTCATGTCATGTGCCACTTGGATTTTTTCGATTATTTCTGAGAAATGTTATGCTGGAGACTGGATTGAGCTTGCACTGCTAGTAGTTGCTGTCGGAGCAATTGCATGAAAAAATCGCTTTTGGGTCCTGTTCTGTGACTAACTGGTGTTAATCATATCCTTTTAACATAAACCCGGTTCACGACTGACTTGCTGTTAATTTTTTTCTTGTTTCTAACCCGTTCGCGTATGTTGAAATTCACAGTTCAGCTTCGAATCCCGGTCAACTTACAAGCAGTGCCATGGACATTCCCCAAAGGGACTATGAATGCAACGGGGAGGTAACTCCGTTTACCGCATAACGGTGATATAACCATCTCTTTTTTCTATAATAGGTAATTCCTATATACTTACATTGGCACGTCGATACAGGGATTAAGGGAAGCCATCAAGAATGGTGATGCTGCTGGCGTCGGGAAGCTGTTGAAAGAGGTATTGATTTGGTTGTCCTAATTTAAGAATCGCTGAGACACCCTGAGAAATGGGATTGAAGTTAAGGTTTAAACCCTTAACACTTCGAGATTTCGACAGGGGGTAGATGCGAATTACCGTGACAAGCAGGGAATGTCGGTGCTTCATCTGGTAAAATCTTCTCGTCTTGTTTGCTCGTTTTCGCTCTATCGTAAGTGCTTCGGTAGTGACACACCTCTTTCTGCAGGCTGCGATGTTTAACTGCACCGATATAACGTTTATTCTAATGGAACATGGAGCAAGCCTTGAGCACAAGAATGCACAAGGTATATATGACTCATGCTCGCTGTAACGCGTTGTTAGAAATTTGTACTCAGATCTCACCTTGACCGAACACCTGAATTTCGGAGTCTTGTATCGTTACAAAATTTACTCTTTTTATCGTTCTGCATATAATCTTTCCATCAACTCTCAACAGGAGAAACGCCGATAGATTGTGCTCCGGCTACTCTACAATACAAGATGCGGCAAAAGATGGAAGAAATCGGGAAGAGCTTTGGCTCTTGAAGCGAAACCCGGCTCGCTGTCTTTGCTCATGGGAAGAGCTTTGGCTCGTGAAGCAGGCGAGCGATCGCTGAGAACACGACAAAGGTTTTCGGGCTTCGAATCTGCTTGAAAGGTAAACCGTATTGAAGGCTTTCCGGTTGTTCTGTCTGCATTTTGTCGAGATGCTTTTTAGTTCATCAACGACACTGATAAGATATGTCGATGTGATGCAAATCGACTCCTTGGCTCAAGTTTTAGACATAAGACAAGTTTCATGGAAACCTTGTTTTCGTGGGTGAGAAACCGAGAACCTGTTTGCAAATTGGTTTGTGACATGCTCTCCTGATTCAGGGCAATCTCCGTGTTTTCTATTCTACAAACCCGACATGAAAGTATAGTAGTTGGTAGGCGTAGTGAGATTTGGGTTTGATTCGGTTATTTTAGAAAAATTATATACATTCGGTTTTTATATTTGGTTTTAGAAAAATTAAACCGATTTGGTTTTTGCATCAAATTATTGGGTTTAGTTTTTGTATAAACACACTGATACAACCACGCCTTTGCACAGAAATCACATTTGCCATTTTTTGTTCGAAAGAGACAAGCAAAGATTCACATAAAAGGATCGTAAAGGAGGAGAATCAGATACTAAAGTAGCGACGGGGCAAAATTGGATTTGATATCGAGTTTCGTATTCGGATTGGCCCGTGGTTATTTGAAAATTATAAACATATATTTATAAGTCGTCATTATTATTAAAATTTACATGATTAGGGTTTGAAATTTTCAACGTTAAGATTTGAATCATTTGAGTTCAAAATCAGACATCTTAAATCTCTGGAATTTAATCTTTGTATAACATGGGTTTAACTGAGAGTTTTTAACATATTCATCACCAAAATTAAGATGCAATTTTAAGGAAAATTTGTTTTTATTTTATAAAATATATTTTCATCATTCATGTTATTAATTATTCCATTATAAATCGTAACAAATTTAAAAAAAAAAAATCCTGAGATTGGGCCAATGCCGATTGGTGTGCGCGCCATTGATCCCGCCTAGGGATTAGCGGCCGCGGCGCAAACGTAGGGTTTATAGGGACAAACCCTCCGCTCCTTTTTTTTTTCCAAAATTATTTTTTCTGGAAAAAGTAATTTATTTTAATTTATATTTCTTTATTTATTTTTATGAGAAACTGCAAAATTGTAATTTCCATTAAAGGCCCAATGAAATCAAAGTGCCTCAATCCATGATTGCTTCTCTGAGCTTTTTCCGATTCTTCATCATTTTCATTTTCTTCTCGGGGTTTTCCCTCCAGCCAAATTGGGGATTAGGATTTTCTTTTCTAGTTCGATTCCTTCATTTGCTAGATTTTTAATGGTGGAATGTGAGTGAAGACGTCGTCGTTATGTTCAAGACCCAATCCGACGCCATTCGCATTTGCTTCCGTCGAATCGCGGGCTTCGATTCACAAACCCTAATGTCTGCATATCTTTTTTCGATCAGCGATCCCTTTTCAACACGATCGCTTCACACTGGTTCGTTTCGTGACAAGCCCGACACAGATTTTGTTCACCGAATCAATTCTCTCGAAGCTAACAACCTCATCAGCGGTGGGGTCAAGGTTAAAGGCGGCAAATTCAACGGGTTAACCCTAAGGGGTTGTGCTGATTCTCACAGGAAAGCTGATCATAAGGCTCGAGTTTTGGCGCAGCATCGGCAGATTCTTCGTGGTGTGGAATCTGGGCCGGCGGAGATTCGCAGCGGCGGAGCCGACGTTGCGGATTTTCGCCGCGGTGGAGCTTTGCCCGGGAAGTTTAGAAGGTTCCATGATAATGATAAGATTGTTGTTGCCGTCGACATCGATGAGGGTATTGTTTCTCTTCTTTCCCCTGGTGTTCTTTAGTTATCACTGATCACCCTCATGTCAAAGTTTCCATTTTGTTTTTCATTTTTAATATTTTGTTGACTGGTGTGTCTATCTGAATTAGTCAAATGGGTTCTGCAAAAAGCTTTAGATTAGAGAATGTTTTCTGCAATAATGAAATCTGGAGAATCTTTGGAGCTTAGCCAAGTGAAAACCTAAATTTATTCACATGGTAGGCATGAGTAGATTGTTGAATTATATGCCCATCATGTGTATGGACACTGTTTCTAATCTGATACTGATAGTGTTATGGATATGTCAATCTGATATTCGTTTGAATAGGTGAAATAATGGTGGTTTCTGTATTATCATACTTGTGGTTTTACCAAACTGAAGTATAGGCTGATTCTCTGTAAAAGTTGAGCAAAATAAATGGTTTATCTAACTCGATAAGCTGGATTTCTTTCTTGTGTTGTAATTTGTGGGGGATTGGTTTGAGTCTGGTCATAGTTTCCTCTCATATGTTGCTCATATTTTACTCTGTCCTCTCCCTTTCCTAATGTGAATTGTATTTTCTTTCTGTCTTTCACTGAAGCATTGATTATAAATTTTTCTCCATCTTCTGTTCTTTCCTTGTAAGCAGTCCTTGGAAACTTTGTCTCGGCTCTTAACAGGTTCATCGCGGATCGGTACTCAGCAAATCATTCAGTCTCAGAGTACCACGTCTACGAGTTCTTCAAGGTATTATTGGGTCATTGCTTTTTTTTTTCCTGGAAAACAGTGAATATCTTGTTGTTAGACAACATGGAGGATTAAATTATATCACTGCACATTTTTGCGAAAAAGAAGCGAGATTAGAGTTAGCTTGGTTTATTATATCAAGAAGTATGTTTTGCGGTAGTATTGGGATCAAGTATTCTTTGAATTGCATGTGCAACCGTACTGTTTCAGGGTATTTTCGACTAGTAAGGTTAAGGATCGGTGTGATAACAACTGTATGATACAAAAATTAAGGAGCATCCTTTGCCCAATGGTTCTTTGCTTCCGGAATTTATCATGCAGATCAGTTTTTGTTAGCTTCTCGTCTTATGTGGTTTATGTTCTATGTTATCATTGGAAATATAGATAGAACATTAGAAATATATGTATGTATTTATCTCGTAATATGGAGCTATATTTGTTTGTTACGGAATGCATTAAAAGTTTCTTTCCCCATTTCTATTGCAGATATGGAAGTGCTCTCGTGATGAAGGTATCGCTTCGCTTGCTTGCAGTTATCAATTTTTTAACGTTTTCACCGATACCAGCTTATGTTCTTTGGCATCGGTAGTTAGTCTATGTAGAACCTAATGGGCGTTGTTAAAGCTCTCTTGTTATGACAGCCGATATACGTGTCCACGAATTCTTTAAGACGTCATACTTCAAGAAAGGGATCCATCCTCTCCCGGGTGCTCAGAAGACGCTTCACAAGTTATCAAGATTTTGTGACCTATCAGTCGTGACGTATGTGGTGACATTCAATGATCTTATTCTTTCGATGTGCAAATTTACCATCGGTTAATTTGAAGACCTTTAACTAGATGCCCTTTGATTGGTTGATTGATATGCATGGAAAATGGATAGGTCTCGGCAGAATGCGATTAAGGAGCACACGCTCGAGTGGATCGAGATGCATTTCCCGGGACTCTTTCGAGAGATTCATTTCGGTAACCATTTTGCTTTGCACGGAGAATCGAGACCAAAGTCTGAAATATGCAGGTATATACAGTTCCTTTTTACCAGTTATGTTCTGATCAAGCTGATAATCATCTGATGTTAGACTAAATAAACCTAAAAAATAATTATAGATTAGGTAACAGCTGGTATTTAACTCCCTTACATCATTAGCAGTAACCCGTGGAGACAAACCCGATATATGTCATCTTCTTGAGGGGATCTAATCTCGAAAATTGGGATTTGCAGATCATTTGGGGCAGAAATCCTGATCGACGACAACCCTAGATACGCGACGGAGTGCGCTAATATCGGGATGAAGGTTCTGCTCTTCGACTACGAGAACTCGTATCCTTGGTGCAAAGCAGAGTCTACCGACCAAAACCCGTTGGTGACAAAGGTTCGCAACTGGGAAGAAGTCGAGCAACAGCTGCTTTCGTTCGTCGTATCGAAGCGTTAAACAACATTTCTACGAAAATTGGACGGATCGTATCATCACATACATATACAAAAGTTCGGAGGATTTTCTCTGCAACAGGTTTTTTAAGGACAAGAACCAAAGAAACAAGCTTTGATGGCATTGATGTGTGTAGTAAGAGGCATTTAGTGTTGGGAATTAGTTTGAAACATTATTCCTTTTGTGTAATGTCTTCGAAGGATATTATTTTAGGTTAAAGTTCTCAGCTCAGTGATAAAAGCAGCCATCTTCTTCTTGGCTTCCCTACTGTAAGAACACAACCCTTTTTTTTTAGAATCATTTTCATTTTCACAACCATTTCTATTTATTTTTTTTCCATTGGAGTGAAAAATGATTTAGATTTGTATAAAATGCTTGGTATAGTGTATAGCTTATGTTATCTATCAAAATTAAATAACACAGAATGTGTGTTCATGTTGTGTTTTCTTATATTTAAGGAATTTGGGATTCGAGGTTTGTATTTAGATTTTAGACAATCGTTTCTAACCCACAAAAATAGAATAAAATTATTCATAAAAGTTATCTTTAATAATTATAAAAAAAAGCTTGGGTCAGTCGAATCCTAGGCCCAATTTATTTTTAACCTCCGAATCCACAAAATACGAGGGGAATACATCAGTTGACGTTTTATTTAATAATATTTATATAGTTTTTGGTTTATTTTATATATATATAAAGGTAGAATATCCAAAATAATTGGGGGGAAAAAGCGGCAGCAGTTATTCGGTCTTCTCCATCAGCTTGATACCGTAAGCTTGCAATATCTCCAAAGCTGCACCAACCAAAAACACAAATTCAACAATCTCACAACTTGATTTTTTTTTCTCTTATGGATAAAATTAAAAATCGTTAGAGATGTAAATTTTGGATTTCGGTTCGGTTTTTTATTAGAGATGGAAAAATAATAAGATATTTTGCCACGGAAAAAGGATCGTAAATTCAAAAGGCTACCTGGCAAGTAAACTTCTGGTTCGATCGGTCTTAAGACGCCACGGGTCTCGATCTTGTCTTCCATCAATAACTGCGAAACCCAACACAAACTGATCAGTTCCTATGTTTCAGCTGTTGTAATAAGATCTTTGCGACATAAACAAAGCAAGCAAGAAAATAGTAAGGAAAGAAAGTTACCAGAGCTCCAATGGCTGCGGGGATTCCGACCGTCTTGGCCATGGCTGTCGTCGTGGCCCCGTTCTTCGTGCTCCCGAACTCTAACATAGTCGCCCTGCGGATCTCTGTTCTTCGGCTCTCCGGGAACTCGACTTCTATTTGGTGATGCAGAAGCACCATATCCTGAAAACGTAAAAAACAAAACGTTTTCTTTTCCCGAGTTTTACGACTATCGGTTACTACTGAACCACGATTACGAGGAGGACTCGAGATCGATGGTTTGAGTTCTCGAAGGATTACCTGTTCGTCGCCCGAAAAGGCGAGCTTCTCTTCCATCAGAAGACAAGTTGCATCGAACATGTTCTTGCACGAAGCCGGAATCTCCCTCTCCTCGTTGAATCCCAAGAATCTACGACACCCGAAAGAGAAAACAGACGAAAGAATTATCGGACTAATTCATCCCGAAAGATTGGATGCAATGCAGCAGGATACACTCGTATTCTGCCTACAAAGTTAGTTACTCACACAATGGTTTTCGCCGCTTTCGCTGCGGCTTCTCTGTTATGCCCAAGATTGGAAATCCTCTCGCTTATAGCCTTCTCTCCAGTTACCGGTCCCGTCCCATTCTCTCCGCCCATTTCGAGAATTTTGCTCAACAAATCACTGAAGGTGATCCTCTTCCCGACCGCGGGTGATTGGTTTGCTTCGTTGTCAAAGAATCCGAGTTTCGCGAGCGTTCCCATAGTCTCGCTGAATCCTGTCCATGGAAGAAAACAGGTTTTAACTTTTCAGATACCAACAGCTTTAACCGCATGATGCAATGAAACCCGAAGGCGTGCCTTCGTATCGGAGGGTTCCACGAAATATCGTAGATGCTTCATTCTCAATCCCGTAGATTTTTCCATAAACCAAGGAGTCGCGATTCGGAAGACACTCCAACGCGAAAGCTGGAAGATCAGCTATCCGGAATCTTGTCGCCGAATCATACAGATTCTCCCCTGCAGTTTGCAACTAATGAGCTAAATCGAAACAAATCTATTACAAGACAGCTATTTTTCTTCAAAGTATCTCGTCGATCTTACCATCAATATGCACTGTTTCACCGTTATGCTTGTAAGTTGCGGGATTGCGACCAGCTCGAATTGCTCCAGCAGGGTTCCAGCTGAAAATCAGAAGAGTTCCCCGAGAAAGCGTGATCAAGAACCAGTTATATGAAACTAGAGATGTCCAAAAACTATCCGTGAAGCGGAAAATGCCTCGAAGGAGAAGAATATACCTGAATTTATACGCCAACGGATTGTTTGCTGCAGCGGGAGAGGGAAGCCCTCCACAGTAAGAGGTGAAAGACTTGATTTTTCCCTTCCGAACCTGAGCATCGTTGATCATTTTCATCGCCATCATGTGATCTAAAAGACAAGATACACAATAAAATCATCTTCCAAGTATTGGAGAAAGCTTGCAATAACACCGAGAAAAGATGCGTCGAAGAAACAGTATTCTGATAAAAACATTGTTCGTACCGATTCCTGGGTCCAGTCCCATTTCACCGAGAATCGTGATTCCGGCCTTCTTGGCCTTCTCATGAAGCATCGAGGTTGCATCATCGACATAGCTTGCAGTGACAAGATGCTTCTTCATCTGCATAGATACGTTTAGTAATGTTTCTTTCTCACCTCAAACCCGCATCCTTAAACCATTAAACGTCATCGAGCGAGACGATTACGCATCAATTCAACGACTCGGGTGGTGTAGTAAACGCGGGTCGAGATTCGTACGAAAGAAGAATAACTCTAGAAAGCATGAATACCTCGATGCAAGTCTTTGCGACAACCGTATGACAACTTGCAGGTAATAGACTTATCACAACATCAACCTGCACATAATGCGAAAAAAACCCAGGATTAGCGCCTGTCTATTTCTGACATCGAAGACGATCGGGTAACAAAAAACCAAGGACAATACCTGAGAAATATACTTGAGGAGGCTTTCGCTATCTGAGATATCGAGCTGAATTGCTTCCGCATTTGGAATACCTTCAACCGTCTGTGCAACACATTCATCATCAAGTCACTAAACTCGGATAAAAAGCGTCATCTCTAGAAAATCTTCTATTTGAAATCATATACGTAATTTCTCGAATACGATTTTTGTCTAGACATACCTCTTTAGCATCTTTAAGATAGAGAGATGCGACAAGAACCCTAACATCAGTTTGTTCTCCGGGATCAGATCCCAAACAAGCCTCGTACCACTGCTGAGCCGAGATGTTTCCAACCGAAGCTAGGAGCTCAGCGGCTGGGCGGCAGACCCGTCCAGCGCCAAGAATCAGAACCGTCGATTTCTTCTTCGTCGTCATCATCTCGGGTTTCTCTTTGGCGCCATTCTCCTCCTGCACCTTGCCAATCTTCAGAGAGATCTTATTTGTTTCTTTACTTGGATTCACATAATCTTCATTCGGATTAGCTAAGCGTGTCAAGGAATCGATAATTTGATCCAAAACTGCTCTGTCATCGGCACCGACCTGTCCAAGATGATGAAATATACATTATCAAGAATCATCTAGGCAAGCGAAAATAACAAGAACCCGAACACCAAAAAAAAGAATCTCAACAACTAAGCATTGTCAAATTCAGTTTCTGCTTCGGAATGAGCTTACTTCAAGTTCCGAATATGACTCAGCATCAGTGCTCTGCCCAACATGGCATTTCGTCAAATGAAAGGATCCACCCGCAGCTTCAATAATGTCCAGAGCTTCGTTTATCAGAAATTTATCGAATAAGTGCCCGCTCAGAGATACCTACAAAATCATTACCATCATAATCCGATACAACGGCAACAAAACAAAACAAGGTATCCGGATCAAGAAACTTACCAAAGTATTTTAATAAAAAAAAACTTACCAAAGTATTGTATGTGTTCTTGTTGGAGAATCCGGTTTCAGTATTATCTGCCGTATCTCTGCAGTTAAATCGCATAAGAGATCAAAACATCGATTTCTTTTACAGAGTTATTGCTTTAGATCAAAGCGTTGATCGATGAAAACATGGCTCAAAAAAAGCTTACTCAGGATCAGAGCTCCTCATACGAGGAATGTACTCGAACAAAGACGTGAGCATTCCCCCGTGGGTAATGCACGCTCTCTTCAGATGCGGCGGTAGTTCTTCGATGTCTGTTGTCGAAGCAAAACTCCCAATGAATTGGGACAGAATGTCCCCGAAATGCTGCGACGCCTTTGTACAACAAAAAAAAAACATCAAATCAGCTTATTAGCAAAACCATAGAATCTGTAAAAAAAAATCTTTTCACCTCCTTTGCAAATTCTGTCGGGAGAATGTCCACGGCCATGGATAGGACACCGTTTCCTTCCATGTCGTTGTGGTAAGAATTGTTCATCGGATCAAACCTACAGGTAAGAGTTATTGACCAGGTAAGTTTTCGTCACAGAGAAAAAAAATAGTAACGAAGAGAGTGTTATATCGAAGAATAGAAACCTGAAGAAAGGTGAGTCGATAAGAGTAGCTCGGTTAACAAACTCGATGGAGCCGCCGATATCACAGGTAATATCGCATATCCCGACGAGCGGGCATCCTCTATCCGTCAGATCTCGAAGCTGCTCGGTGCTCAAAAGACGAGGAAATCTTTTCTCCCAATACATGCAATTAACTGCAGAAAAAAAAAATCATACTTACATGCTTAACATTGCGAAAATTCAAGAACATGAAAGGTAAAAATAAGAGCAAGATCTACCGAGAACAGATGTATATGGAGCTATCTTTTCGTGAAAAACCGGCTTGTAATGTTCCGGGTGTGTGTAATAGTCCACCTGAACATTAAAAGATAGAAAAAATCTCAGACCTTTCGTCTTCGATACACTCAAGATAAGGTAGCAATATCGATGCTGAACCATTTATGTATACTTACTTTGTCGAAAGCCTCTGTCGGGTCTAGATGTTCAACCATGTCTTGACTGGTGACGATACATCCGTACACCTGATGAATTCTCTTCGTAGATAGTCCGTTTTGGCTAACGCCCTTGGCCTGTGCAGAAACATACTTTTTGATTCAGATTCTTTCACGAAACAGATGTCAATTCCATTCAATCTTTTTCCAAAGTTTTCACAGAAAAATTGTCCAAAAAGCAAATAGATAGCTAAAAAAGCGAGGAACCTTTCACTTACTTTTTCGAATAGTTCAGGAAGCCGGTTTGGTTCAACCATAGTGTGAGGAAGAAGCTTGAAAATTTCCTGGGCTCCAAGAGAAACTGCAGAAGAGAGTCAGCAGAATGCAACATCGGCATCTCTAAATTGTTAGAACTGAAACAAAAATGGCTGCAACAATCAGAGAAGAGAAATGAATTTACGATAACGAAAGTACCGTTTCCTGTCCCCGTGAAAACAAACACGAGAGGGCATATCCCGGATGGTAGTCCCTGAGTTGCAATCTCTTCGCCTATGGAAATCACGGCAGCTTTGGCCGCAGCCAAGGAGGAATACATATAGGATGAACCGAGAGATAGGAAAGGCGTTGAGTATCCAAGACTTAGGTATCCTGCAACATCCGTGGAAAATTATATTTGATTAAACCCGAGAAAAAATCTCGTAGCGATTTGGACAAGTTTTACATCTAAAAGAAGAAACGAAAAACCGAAGCAGGATAAGTGAAGTGAAGGATCATACTCTGTCCAAGTCCATGTAAGAAGTCGACAAGTCCAGCTCTCCCTGCATATTTACCAAATGCAAGCAGTCGTCTCCCGTGATCCCCGACAATGAGCTCATAGTCATATAGTGTAACCCTGTCTGCTAGAATCTGCGTATTGAATGCCGGTTTTCAGTGCGTTAAAACAATTTTTTTACGAGTTTCGAATTTTTTACAGATTAACTTACTGCTGTGTACCTTATCCAACAAGGGCATGTTCTCTTTCTGTGCCTTGTGAGTGTGCGAAAAGAAAGCGTATGCTCTGTCGGGGAGAATCATTTCAAGCTGAAAAACCAAACCCGAAACACGATATGCCATCAAAACAATATCCAAGACCAAAAGAAAGCATAACCTCTGTCGAGAAGAACCATTTCAAGCTCAAAACCCAAATCCAAACCACGATATATCATCAAGAAATCGTACACAAGGCCAAAAGAAAGCGTACACTCTT